ACCATACAGACATGATTTAATTTGTTCCCATGTTTTTATAATGAATTTTTACATGAATAAAAATAGATTATATTTTATTTAATTTTATTTTATTTTTTTAGCATTTATAAGCTGAGCTCYTCTTTCTCTGGTCGTCCAACAGATCAGGGTCCTGTCCAGCAGCTGTCCAGCCTCTCATGTGACCCACAGAGGAAACGTTCTTGCCTGGCCTGATTTTCTTAACGGGGTGGTGGGTCGTGTCAAAATAAACCTCAACAGTATTTTCTGTGCAGGTACGAGAGATTCACATATTTAAACCTATATTTTACACTTAACTTTTTGTAGATATACTCGAGGAAATATTTAAATCTCATCAGCCTAACATCTGTGTTTTCCCAGATTGTCCCAAGCTAGAGAACGCTGTGCCCCACCTGCACGTGTCCACGGTGGAGGTGAGCCCTGGTGCTCAGGTGCAGATGTCCTGTGATCTCGGTTTCTACCTGGTGGGGGAGCCAGTGCTGCAGTGCCAAAACAAAGGAGAGTGGAGCCACCCTCTGCCCAGCTGTGAACGTGAGGCCCAAACCCGAAAAACTCTCATTTTCATTGCAAATGAATCSCTGTAGTTGTGACGTACATCCAAGAGCAGATAACAAATCACACCCACACTGACAGGTTAATGTCCAGAGTTATCAGGAGGAGAGGCCAGCAGAGACAGATATGAGAATCTGTTGTGTCATGCTACCTTGTTTGTCACATATCATGATGATGTGTCAGCCTCAGAAGTTGTACATTGAATTAAACTGTTTTATTTTTCTTTGGCTATGTTATGCTCCAAACACACAATGTTTCTTGTTTACAACACATTAGGGTTGATGTGTTTTTTTCTAAAAGATGGTAGCATGAAATGAACATCAAACGCTATATAAAATAGCCAGTCTCTAAACCATAGGTGCCCAAAGTGGGGCCTGTGGGGCAAAATTGGACTGTCGAGCCATTTAATTTGGCCCACCAGCAGTTGTCCAGGCTACTAGGTTGTATTCTCCTGTTTTATGTAGAAACATTAGTCGTTCCAACTGCTGGTCCAACTATATAAAAGGGCTGTAGTGCAGTTAGTCTTAACTCACKGTACTTATTTTGTYTTTGAATTATATTAAAATTAAGCATAAAATACATTACAAGAGACATTTAGATTAGATTTAAGCACTTATCCAGATTTGCTGACTTTGTAAGACCCCAAATACTCAAATTTTAATTTATGAAATGTCCCATAAGTTTTTGCTGCTCGAGTGTACGTCAAATTTTCTGCATGTCCATTAAATAAATAAACAAAAAAAKGTGGGCTGCTAGCTTAATCGTAAAAAATAAAACAACTTTACTTAAGAAGTATTTGCATTTCGTGAATTATATTATTGCATTTGGCCCACAGTCCTCAGATCAGTTTTCATTTGGCCCTCTCAGGGAAAATGTTTGGGCACCCCTGGTCTCAACGATAATTTAATTCTGTTTAAAATGTTAGAAATCAAATAAATAACAGTAGTGTGTGTGTGTTTTCTCTGTGTGCTGCAGGAGTGTCATGTGGACCACCACGTCCTCCAGAGAATGGCCTGTTTCAGGGGACAGATTTTCAAGCTGGCAGCTCCGTGGTCTATCAATGTAATCCAGGCTTCTACCTGCTGGGAGACTCCAAGGTGCGCTGCAGCAACAGCGGCAAGTGGGGAGGACATCCACCGGCCTGTCTGGGTACCAAAACATGAACTCAGTGCATCTGAAATGAATGTTGTAAATTGTTAAACAATGTCAGATGTATTCTGCACTTCACCAATGTGTTTCTTTGCATGAACTCCTTCATTGTCCAGATGTGGATGAGTGCGCTCTGGGCTCAGACTGTGATGATCACGCCAGCTGTCAGAACACAGACGGGTCTTACACCTGCACCTGCATTCACCCGTACTCTGGAGACGGCAAAAACTGCACAGGTAACAAGACTCTGAAGTGTTGAATAAAGCCATGATGAGTTTTACAGTGAAAGTTTGTATGATAAATCTGCTGTGTGTGTGTGTGTGTGTGTGTGTGTGTGTGTGTGTGTGTGTGTGTGTGTG